AACAAGTTCCAGGCCTTTCATGATCTACTCAATGGAGAAGGAACTACTGTGGAGAGCAACTGGAAGAGGATCAAAGAGGCAATCACTTCAACATGTCATGAGGTCCTGGGTCACAAGAAGCACCACCACAAGGAATGGATCACTGTTGATACACTGAATATGATTCAAGAAAGAAGGAACAAGAAGGCAGCGATCAATACCAGCCGAACAAGAGCAGAAAAAGCCAAGGCACAAGCTGAATACACGGAAATAAACAAACAAGTGAAGAGGGGCATCAGAACCGACAAACGTAAATATGTGGAAATTCTAACAACGACGGCGGAAAAGGCTGCAAGAGAGGGAAACATGAGAAAACTGTATGACATAACAAAGAAACTCTCTGGAAATCGCCGCAAACCAGAACGACCAGTGAAAAGCAAGGAAGGCGGGGTAATCACCAACATTGAAGAGCAACAAAACAGGTGGGTAGAACACTTCAAAGAACTCTTGAATCGACCAGCTCCACTGAGCCCACCCAATATCGAAGCAGCACCCACGGACCTCCCAATCAATGTTGTCCCACCAACAATTGAAGAAATCAGCATGGCCATTAGACAAATCAAGAGTGGCAAAGCAGCAGGACCAGACAACATTCCAGCAGAGGCACTAAAAGCAGACGTAGCGGCAACTGCAAGGATACTCCACATTCTCTTCAAAAAGATTTGGGATGAGGAACAAGTACCAACAGACTGGAAAGAAGGACTTCTGATCAAAATATCGAAGAAAGGCGATCTCAGCAAGTGTGATAACTACAGGGGCATCACTCTTCTCTCAATACCGGGAAAAGTCTTCAACAGGGTATTGTTAAACAGGATGAAGGACTGCATAGACGCCCAACTTCGTGACCAACAGGCAGGATTCCGTAAGGATGGATCGTGTACAGACCAAATCGCAACTCTACGGATCATTGTGGAGCAATCAATTGAATGGAATTCATCACTCTACATCAACTTCATTGACTACGAAAAGGCATTTGACAGCGTGGACAGAACAACACTATGGAAACTTCTTCGACACTACGGCGTGCCCCAGAAGATAGTCAATATCATACAAAACTCATATGATGGATTACACTGCAAAATCGTGCATGGAGGACAGTTGAAAAAGTCGTTCTAAGTGAAGACCGGTGTTAAGCAAGGTTGCTTACTCTCACCTTTTCTCTTTCTCCTGGTGATCGACTGGGTCATGAAGACGTCAACGTCTGAAGGGAAGCGCGGGATACAATGGACATCTAAGATGCAGCTGGACGATCTAGACTTCGCAGATGATCTGGCCCTTCTATCCCAAATGCGACAACAGCTGCAGGAGAAGACAAACAGTGTGGCAGCAACCTCAGCAGCAATAGGTCTCAATATACACGAAGGGAAAAGCAGGATTCTCCGATACAACACACCATGCACCAATCAAATCACAATTGACGGAGAAGATTTGGAAGATGTAAAAACCTTTACGTATTTGGGCAGCATCATTGATGAACAGGGTGGATCTGATGCAGATGTGAAGGCGCGGATCGGTAAAGCAAGAGCAGCATATTTACAACTGAGGAACATCTGGAACTCAAAGCAACTGTCAACCAACACCAAGGTCAAGATTTTCAATACAAATGTCAAGACAGTTCTACTGTATGGGGCAGAAACCTGGAGAAGCCATCATCCAGAAAATACAGGTGTTTATTAACAATTGTCTACGCAAAATACTTCAGATCCGTTGGCCGGACACTATTAGCAACAACGTACTGTGGGAGAGAACAAACCAGATCCCAGTGGAGGAAGAAATCAGGAAGAAGCGCTGGAAGTGGATAGGACACACGTTGAGGAAAGCACCCAACTGCGTCACAAGACAAGCCCTCACATGGAATCCTCAAGGCCAAAGGAAAAGAAGACCAAAGAACACATTACGCCGAGAAATGGAGATAGACATGAGAGAAATGAACAAGAATTGGATGGAACTAGAAAAGAAGGCTCAGGACAGAGTGGGTTGGAGAATGCTGGTCGCTGGCCTATGCTCCATTGGGAGTAACAGGCGTAAGTAAGTAAGTACCAATATATCTGTTGGTAAACAAATGAATTAAGTTCTATGCAGCATATAATACACTCAGATGAAGGATCCATTCCAATAGGAGTTGAAGGTAACATAATGCTGACTTTATCCGTTAAGTGGATAACAAAAAAGATTATGATACGGTGATTATATGGAAATTTGTTTAGGTATATAATAAACATTTTAGCTACTTAAACAGACAATGAAGGGACCATTTCTATTATGTTTCATGATGACTGTTCTCTCTCACTGTTCTACACTCAGTCTGACAGCCTCCTGAAGCTGAACAGATAGCGAAAGCACTAACCACACTAGTTACTGCAATGGTAATTTTTATTGCCATATCATAGATCCTTCGTAGATTCGTTATTATTTTTGTAATCATCAAGATTTATCACAAAAATTACAGGAGTTTTTATCTGTACGTACATGACTAAGAAATTTAACAGTGAACACTACTTGTTTGGTTTCATTTAACTAAACTATGATCCAGTAGACTGAAAAACTGAAATCCCAAAAGCTATAATTTCCCACATTTCTTAGATTTTCACAATGTACCATATAATTACTACTATTAAACTATTCAAATACTACTTAAAATAATTGTGATACTTTGAAATTTGTGAAGTAAACGCGTAAAATAGACAGGTGAAAATATTTTGTTCTCTTTTTGAAACTTCTAATTATTAAACATGAGAAATTTTTTGTCATTTTATACTTTATTCGCAAATTTCACATTCATACTGGTTATGCTACAACATTTTTGTCGGTTTTTGATACTACTCATTAGTATTGGAACATAGTTAATTGACTTACTGAAAGACAGAATACAGTTTTGGACAATTTATCTCGTTCTACTTAATTAACTATGTTTTATTTGTTTCGCTTGTTGTTTTAAAAAATTTATATTATTATGTCGGCTCCTACCAGTTTGTCGATCCAGTTCTTAATGTGAACTTTTAGTAAAGGTAATGATGACACTGTATCATTGATTCAAATGCGATAGTCTAGAAGGAATATTCAGTTTATGATTACAACAATAATTGTAACACGCTTGCAACATAGACCTATAAATATTATCAACACCACATCAGAAAATGAATGATGGGAATAATAGACATATAATCCCGTTATGAATCAAACTATATGCAAATCTGTATTAGTATCTAGCTCATTTAAAATTTCCCTATGGTGCTTGAAATGATATTTGGAGCTTAGCTCTTTGAAATGTAGATAAATTCTCTGTGATGATCTTCTTTTTAAATTCGACTTCACTGTAAGTGGTAAGGTACTGTCTAGGTTTAACATAGCAATAAACTTGTTTTTCAGGTATTTCCAGAATGGGTCTTTCCCAGAATAGGTGTCACCACAGAATTGTTAGTCTCAATGACTTTTGGAATGTATTCTGCGTAACCTCTGTAACATCGACCCACTTATTTTTGCGTAAATGCATGTGCCCGACCGATCCCAGAATACTGCCGTTCTCTTCTGAGTTTTGTTCACATAAATGATAAACTTAAGTTGGAAACTTTCCAGCGACGATTTACAATTTAAATTCTTGAGAATGATTGTATCTGAGACTACGAATCCAGATGCACTGAGTTTGAGTTCAGCCCCTTATGGAAGGAAAGACTGGAACTAAATCAAATCTTTTCTTCAAAATACTAAATGAACTATCTTTTAGACCAGTGATACAATCCAACCTACAGAAATACCTAGTTACAGCATTTGTAACTCTTCATCGAAAGTGGAACTGTTTTATTTGAAGCACTATCTCAATATGAATTACTTTACAAGTAAATTCTCAAGACTCTGAAATAGTTCACCGCAATCTATTCGTGAAATAAAATCTTTACCATCACCTACTCGTAACACCGATTGTTACCTTCCCTTCAAAACTGCTTTAAAAATACACCTGTATCTCTGTTATATCCCACTAGTGAGATTACAGGGATATTATTAGAAAGGAGGTTTGTGGAGATTGTAGTGGTTTAACAGTTGAATCCATGAGACCTATGAATATTATCAACACCACATCAGAAAATGAACGATGGGAATAATAGACATATAATCCCGTTATGAGTTAAACTATATGCCAATCTAAAATTTCCCTATGGTGCCTAAAATGATATTTGGAGCTTAGCTTTTCGAAGTGCAGATAAATTCTCTGTGATGATCATTTTTTAAAATTCCACTTCACTGTAAGCGGTAAGGTACTGTCTAGGCTTAACATAGCAATAAACTTTTTTTTCAGGTAAGTGACTGACATACTAGGAATATTACACAAAAGTAGGCATATCTTGTTTGATAGATCTACAAATCCCTGTGATTTGATTTGCTATGGAAGGTTATAGAGAAAAAAAGATGAAGAAATGGTGCGATGTGTGCTACTACTGTTGACAGATATAAGTGGTATGTGTCATCAATCAAAAGTGAAATACCTGGCAGCAGAAGGTTTAGAAGATCAAATAAAAGAGAACGAGTGAAGTAGTGTCCAAGAATACTAAGCAATAAGAGTAGCTGGGTCGCAATGAGAGAAATTATAATATCTACAAAATCCTCTTACTAGACGCGATAATATATCAGATCTTTCTGAATAATTTAATTTCAGCCAACGGAAAACTAATCAGTGACGTTTTATTGCCTAGTCTTGGAAAATATTTTATCATGACAGTTTATTAAATAAGTGTGCATCACAGCTATTAATTAAGAAGTGTACAAAGTACTTGTTAATAAAATAGTCTAATGAGTTAGAGAAAACGCTAATTAACTATAGTGAAGGACAAACATTTAAGTGTAAAGCAAATAAAATATGACAACTAACCCTTTAGTACCAATATATCGATTAAACTATAACGAGATTTCGAGATTAGAATACCGATTAAGTTGCAGTTTACAGAGAAGACTGTGATTTCCTTTCCCTATCTTATCACATCAAAAGAAAGGCGAAATAATGTTAAGAAGATGACAAGAGAGCTTACTTTGAATAGTTCGGGCCAATTCAACCGTACTGTAGCCTTATCAAATAGTTCTTGAGGTAGACCATAAGAAAATCTATACACAAATATGATTGGTCTTGGTCCGGTTTGACAAGCTGTTTTCCAAAGTTCATTACTCATTTCATCTGTTGGGCTGCAAAAAGATGAAGGGATAAGGCAGGGAAAGCACAAAGCAGGTAATCGTTCTGGACACAGTAATGATTGAATCTGGTTATTAGTTGGAGACTGACGCGTATCAGAATTCGCACTATCCTCTGTATCTGGTTGGCTATCCGGTGATTGAGATCGACTCTCTGTGTTAGATATAATTCCACATGATAAAGCTATTTCTCTGGGAGATGGAAACTGCGTAACAATATAAAATAAAAACGAAGTGAAAAATATACGTAGATTAACATTGTCTAGCCGATTAGGATAGGCTTCATACATTCAAGAAGTACATTGACAGACCTGTTGTACTTTAGTGAAAAATTAAAATTATGATTAAACAGTTGACACTTGAGAAAAACTAGTTTCTTCATTTCAGGACCTTTGATATTTCAAGAAGGTATGGATATATTGTTGAGATTATTTTTGAAACTTATTAAATCTAAGTAATCTGTCTTTAAATAACAATTCGAATATAATATCTTGGGTTATTGCCAGTTGTAGCTTACCGCTATTGTACAACAGAAGAATTGCAACACATTTTGGAAATATAAAGAACTAAAGATCTCCATGAAATCACCAACATTCTTAGGAATGGCGTATACAATATTGGAGCGTCCTTTTGTGAAAATCTTGACTCATCTAAAGGAATACTTAAGCTACACAAAAAGACTTAATGTAGTGAACAAGAACACCAGTGGGGACAGTCGACTGTATTTCACACAAACTTACAGGACTTGTTAATAAAGTTTAGCAATCATAAAGTAAATGCTTAATTTGCAAAATGTCCATCAATTGTCCCAAAGTGACTCAGACTTCATTGTTCTTGCATTTTCATACAAATTGCATCCTGTTTCTATTCTTTACTGTTCGATTCCCTTGTCTCTCAGCTGCCAGACCTTTTGTTCACGACTAACTTCATATACTACTTATGTCAATATAAGTAGCACACACCACACTAATACTTTTGTAAAACTGGAATGTCTTCAAATAAAATCAGTAACAGTAGTACATGCCATATTAATTAACCTAAGAATCGAAAAGAAAGGTGAGCAGCTGACGCAATTCATATCATACTAAATCTCTCTTCCTTCAATTGTGGGGTGGGGGGTTGATAGTTCATCCAATCTAAACCATTTATCCCAACAACCAATAGAGTTCAAGAGTGTTGGGTGTGAGGCAGTTACGCACCGAAGACAATGGAAGGTGGTCGCGCAACATTGTGGATTTGCTGAAGTTATACATTAACGCTGTTTGATGTCAACTCAGTGGTTTACAGGTTAAGCGTTCGCACGAGACCGAAGGTTCTGAGTTCGGGACTGTTGTGGGAGGTCGTGGATGAGCAGTATCGAGGAATCCCATGCTAGAACAAGAGGGTAGCTCAGTGCTTCCAGATTTTCAATTGTGGTCTAACATTGATCGGTCCATGATTTCAATGCAATTCAACAATTTAATATTGAATAAAGCCATTAATAATAATAATAATAATAATAATATACATTTATTCGAGTTCATTCCTCACACAATTAACACATATACGTAACTTTCAGTTTCACTCTATATTATGAATTTTGCGTTAATTATGCTTGCCAACATATACACAAATACAAATAGTGATTTCTCATACATAATGAATTATCCCCGGAAATTCGACTTTTCTGAGTGTGACATCGTATTTCTGTAAACCCTTGCATTCTTTACCCCTAAACCCATTGAAAACGTAGTTCTCATCGTCTAATCGGGAGCCAGCTTACAAATGAATACAAACTATCAACTTTAAAAGAGTAAAATGTTTCAAATTTATTACCACAGTCTTGTCGGTTCACATATCTATACTGAACAGCGAGGCGGAAAATACGTTTCGTGAGATATTTTTTGAAGCTGGATTTCCTACAGAAAAAGAGTTAACCAGACATTTGGCAGTCTATGTGAGTCAGGCTCTCAGTAATTAAATTATCTAGGATAGACATTACAAAAAGAGTGATTTTCGTATAAAATGTGTATCCAGAATGAAAGGGCATCGTCAGTGGTGGATGACATCTTCTCCAAATATCTTCTATATAATAAATTAGACAACCTGTTGGTTGTAGATGGCCGTCGTCCTCTCATGTTCGTATTGTAGATGGATTGTTTACCGTAAATTGATGATCATTGACTCATAGCCATGATTTTACTGAGCGTTGTTCATCAGCAAAACTCAGGGTTCCATCATTTAATGAATGATCAATTTAAGAGCATTCACTTTTTACTGGTATCCAGAGCTGCAGTCTTTGTAGTAATCGATTTCGTCTACGAAACTTTTGAAAAGTGAATCATTACACAGGATGTCCGCTTAGAACCATTTTAATCGAAAATGACAAGACGTTCACATAATGAGATCTATTTTGATTTTCAATAAACTAAATATTTTCTCTTGTTCCTGTTTAAACTCGTAATAACTTGATCCGATTATTTTCTTATTTAGTATGAAGAAGTGGCTCACACTTAGTCGCGAAACGTTAGAAACTCAAATTTCTACTCTTTGGAATGTCACAAATATATCATAGTTTTATTATTATAATTTAATTGACCTTAGATATTTGATTTGTTAACTGAATTTTTCTAATGCTTCATCTTCAGCTTTCCTTAAAAGATGCTAATAAAAACATAACACACAGACAATGAACTTGTTATTGTATGCGAAAATCATCAATACTTAACCTGTCATTATCACTGACGATCTGAACAAGGTTGAACTTCCAGCGTTAACTAACTGGAAATTATTCTTTGTATTTTCACAGTGTAATTATTAGACATTTGGGATATTGTATTGTTACATAGCTCTATTTGAAAGCTTTTGTTTGATCCAGAAACTACTACTTATTTCTCTTACTGTTCCAGGTTTTTCGTTGATTAATTACTTTATTTTTACTCAGTTTTTTTATCACTTACGACTAAGTTGTGCACACTGGAATTTCTTATTTTTATTCATTTGATAACGTAGATTAAATATTTAAATTAAATTAAATTAAATTAAATATTTAATCTACGTTATCAAATGAGCTTAGAGTCATGAATGAATAGAATACAGTGGAGAAGATATTCAATAGACAACTTCGTCTTTTTATTAGTTACTGTGTTGGAAGCAGCTTAAGAACCTATAGATGTTAAGGTATTAGTCATTGGTCATTGTTCACTAGTCCTAATGACAATATAAGTTAGTGAATCAATAATCGGGTCAGAGATCGGAACTGCTTTCATGATAAATTATCCGATCACATAAGTCTTAATGGGATTCAAGTATCAGTTCTTTTTGAAAAGAGAGCATTATCCGACATAGCAGCTGTGCGTTACACTTTAATTTACTTTTTTATTATTATATGCCTTGACTGAATTCAAATTATTGTTGAAGTAAGTAGTCCATACTTCTTAATCATGTGGAATTAAGTATCATCACCGTTTATAGCAATCTACAATGTATGTGAGATTCTTGTTGAAATTAATATTTATCTTATCCAGTCCTTAAAAGAAATATACTAATCTACTGAGATAATCATTTTCTATTGTGATCCATGATTAATTTAGCTTATTAAAAATATTTGTGTAGAACTTACTAAAAAGCCGAAATTATTGCTCAATCTATTTTTCCATGCCATATACAAAAAAACATGATCATTTATTGAAATATGTATGTTTGTGAGCAAACTTACATTCTATTACTTAAATAAATAAAACTCTTGTCATACTACAATAAGCTACGTAAATGATTATCGATTCTGAACGGATTATACTTTCGATATTGTTAACATCGAATTATTGCCGATTTGTACAATTTATTGTAAGTCAACTAATAAGTTTTGTTCAGTGAATATTATAATTACGAAAACAAGAGAAAGAATTCACTTAAAATTAACATATTGAATATGTGATAAGATTAGAAACTAAGTATATATGGTAAGTAAATAAATGATGAAAAAAGTTATCACTATTGTTGTATATTTATGTCGATACTAAATAAACACTGATATGAATGTTAATTATAAACTTTTAAAAAAATTTCGTTATTAGAAGAATTTTTTTGAAAAAAGTATATATTGAATATTTCACATTCATTATCTAAGAATTTTGAAACTGTTGCCATAGATACTAAAAATAGGGGAATAAATTGTTATAATAAATAAGTCATAATAATTCATTCTATTTGTTGAAATCATGAGTCAATTGATACTAGACTACTATGGAAAACGAAATGGCGCCACTGCACACCATTGTCTTTAGTGAGTTGATATCTCACAACAGACCTAGTTGAACTCTATTGGTAACGGTTTTGTTAGGTATGCAGAGGAATATGCCAATAATTATCGTGTTAAGTCGAATGATGTCCTTGAACGTTAAGTGGACATTTCCCATTGGTCGATGTTTGTTTCACTTGTTAAATATTGTGTAAATGTTGTTTTCTATTTTATGGTACGATGTGGTTTGTTTGGTTAATATATAAATAGAGTATGTCTGAAATACAATGATTCATAACTCAGAAGCCGTGACTTGCGTTCTTGATTCAACTGGCTGGGATAGACAGGGAAGCAGGGCCAATCAGAACCCTAGGTCGTCCTTACGTCTTTTCTGTGTTACTGTGATCGATATAAACGCTGCTTATCAAAAACTGCAGCCACGCTTTACAACAGGCTTCTCACTTAAACTCCAGGAAATGCCTCTTGAAATCAGTCACTAATGAGCAGATGATTATTATCACAAAGGGTTTTGTGGAGATTTTTATCAAATAATGATCAATGCTATATACCACTCCCTATATAAGAATATATAAATATCTGATCTTGTTTTTATGGGCCAATCAAATTTTAATAATGAATTGCACTAAAATCGATCATTTATCTTCTAACAACTAACAAATTAAAAATTGAGTTTTTATTTTTATTGTTTAATAAATTTATTTATTTATTAATTTATCGTTGTCAAAACAAACAAATAAAATTAACACACAAAATAAACCGAAAAAGAAGAAAAAAATATTCGATTAACCGATTTTTTTTCTCGTTCTCATATTTTTAAAAAAAAATGATTCAGTTGCTACCCACAAATAATTCATCAAATGAACTATTTACCAATATTGATCTAAATCAGAATAATGATTTCGCATCGATTTTATTTATACGATCTAATGGTAATAAACATTATTTACCAGTGAAATATCCTAATACAATTTATAAATGGTATGAAAATATATTAATCCATTTAGAAAAGAATAAATTTCTTCAATGGACATTAATTACTATATCAGATTATGAAGAATGTATAGGCTTGAAATTAATTCAATGGAATAATGAATTGATTACATTAATTAAGCAGATAGCACCAATTTTACAACAAATTGATTTATCCTATTTAAAATTGAATGGAATCCCATCAGATTTGTTATTACGATTTTCTACACGTTTATTCTCATTAAATCTTAGTTATAATCAAATTGAAATGAATATTTTCCATGAAATTAAATCAGTCTATTTATGGTATAGAAAACAGAAACATAATGAGAATACAATAAAACAAGATTTATGTTGGATTCAAACTATCAATGAAATATACTTAGATCATAATAAACTTGAAGATCAATTTCCATATGAAATATCTAATTATATGATTGGATTACGGCGACTATATATTCAAAACAATGGGATAACTAGTTTAAAAGGTTTAAATGGTCTTACACAACTACAAGTGTTAAGAGCTGATTTTAATAAAATTGCCAGTTTACATGATGATTTCTTTTCATTGAAAAAAATTGAATATGTATATCTTTCACATAACCATATTACACAACCGATATCTGGTACACGTTTAAAGTACTTAAACCATCTAAAAGTGATTGATTTATCATACAATGGTTTGTCTTTTTTACCTACTGTCATATTCAGTCTACCATGTTTACAAACATTAAAAGTTGATCACAACAATATATCAAATTTGCCTACATTAAGATCAAATTCTAGAATTTCTAAAGAACCAATACAACTGATTGATCTTTCACATAATCAAATTAATGCAATATCTGATGGTTTACTTAAAATAACGAAACAGTTAGATTTAAGTAAAAACAAATTACGAATGTTTCCTGCTAGTTTACTTAAAATGATTGCAAATATGGCTCAATTAAAAAAGATAAAACCATCAGAAATGATTAAACTTGATTTAAATGATAATCCAATTATATGGCCACCATATAATACTATTGAATGTGGCATCGATGCAATGATTCAATATTTTGTAGAATCAAGAACTGAATTACAATCATATTATGGTATTAAAATAATGTTATTAGGTGATATAAATTGTGGTAAATCTAGTTTAGCTATGAGTATAGTAGATAGACAAATTCATATGACAGAAAGTATAGAAGAAACCACTTATAGTATCGAATCATATACTATACATTATGATGCCATTGAATTAACATCGAAATTATATACAAATTCAAAAGATAATAATAATAATCACATAAATTCACAAACGCAAACTAATCGACCAACAACAATCACAATATGGGATTGTTCTGGTTATCTAAATTATATACCATTAATATCCTATTTTACATCATTATCAACCATTTATATTATTGTAGTGGATATAACAAAATTCAATTCTACAATCTTAATAGATGATAATATAAAATTAAAGAAATCAAATAATTATTTTTATCAATCTGTTGCTATATGGTTAGATCTTCTATTATATCGTTTAAATTATCTTAAATTAATTTTGATTGTTACTAAATGTGATCTTATACAATCCACAATAGAATTAAATAATAAAATGAATTATTTATATAAACAAACAATTAATTATATAAAATTTAAAAAATATTGGTTAAAAGAACAAATTACACAGATTGAATCATCATTACAAATATCGAAATCCATGTTACTATATTATGAACAATTAAATTATATTTATAATAATTTATATACATTTATTTATCCAATTATTCAATCATTTTCATTCAATGATATCAATGATAAAACAATTTCTAATTTCAATCAATTATGTTTTATATCATTTGATTTAGCGATTAAAACTCCAACTTATATACCATATTGTTTAACACCATTACCACATATATGGTCAGATATTGAATTATATTTAAATGATATTAAACATGATTATTATAATAATAATAATGAAGTGAATACAACTATACTACTGAAATCTTATTTTTGTCATTTATTACAAAATAAATTTAATTTAAATGTATTAAATTTAAAACAATTACTTATTTATTTAAATAATACAGGTAAAATTATAATATTAGACTCATATTCAATGAACAATAATCATAATCATAATAATAATAATAGTAGTAGTAGTAATGAAGGGCAATCTTATAATGATCCAATGAAATCCCTAATTAGACCATATCCCAAATTCTATGTATTAATTAATCCTGATTTATTTATTGAATCATTTAAATATTTATTAAATCCTTATTTATATTGTATAATGGATTATATAAAACATAAAAATTCCAATGAAACTATTTATTTACCTAAAACATTTATCAAAGATTTGCTAAAACATTTTTATACGATTACAAAACATGATGCAATGAATCAATTAATCTATAGTTGTAATGAATTAAAACGTGGTACTGGTATTATAAGCGCCTATTTATGGATTGCATTAGTGGAATATAGTAATCTTTATATTATTAAAAATAATATTGAAACCGGTAAATCCTACGTTGAAATTATATGGAGATGGTTAGAACTTGCTTATCCAGTACCTGAACCAAATTTATTTATAAATTTTGATTTTAATTTAGACAATAATGTATCATTGAATGGATTGAATTCATCAACTTGGAAACTTAAATATGTAAGTAAATATTTATTATTATAATTTATTCATGTATTATTATTATTATTATTCTAACACAAATAGAATTATCAGAAGGGAGATTTTAGACATTTCAGTAGTTGAAATCATGAGTCAATTAAAACTAGACCATCATAGAAAACCTGGAAGCACTGGATGCCGGTTCAGTGTTCTAATGGTCAAGCGCTCGTGCGCGAGACTGATAGGTCCCGGGATCGAATCTAGCGAGGGGCGAGATCGTCGAGAGGAGTTCCATACTAGAACGAAATGGCCGTCCAGTGTTTACAGGTTTTCCATGGTGGTCTAGCTTCAATTCACTCCTGATTTTAGCTATTGAAAAATATATCAGTTGAAAGTAGTAGTTAATTGTAGACACATGACTTATTTAAGACTTAAATATGTGTCACTTTCTTTTGTTAAAGTACTAATTCCATGAGGAAATATGAACACGAATAACCAAGACGACGTAATAGTAAGATTATGGTACTGGATTACGTAATACGAATAATAACAATAGATTAAGTGAATATAATAAGATGATTAAAATGTTTTGTTAGAACAGTCCAAGGTCATTAAAGGTGACATAGTGCAAAAATAAATAAGGTTATATGATGAGTATCTATGAATAAATTAATGAAAATGTAAGACATAAGTAAAAGGGAATGCAGTAATAATGATAATAATAATTAAGGTCAAGGTAACGATAACGATAAGACGTACTTCTTTTGTGCGAATAGTTCTGGTTGTGCTTATACTTATCTTGTGATTTTAAGCTCTAAGTACTTCAAATCGTAATATTTCACTTGGAAACCATCGAAATGTCATTGTAAACTATAAATAACTTTATAGATAACTTTTTAGGCATTTTTAAATGTCATAATCGTATTGTATGGGGTCTTTTTTATATTTAAAGATAATTTCATCACGAACTGATATTAACTGAAAAAAGTCACAGAAAATCAGAAAATACAGGACTGTTGTTTTGTCATCTCAGGCCTCGTTGACGGCCTACAAGTCTCACAGTAAGCAAGATAAAAATAAAACACTGAGTTGATACATAAGAGTTAACATTTTCAGCTCCAATCATTTGATAAAACAAAGCGATTGTTATTGTTCTTGTCATAGTTGAACTTCACTAGTCAAAAATTTACATCAGAAGACCAATAATCCATGTCGAATTTAGGCTCCCGTTAGCACAGCGTTATTTTTAGTCGTATGTATCATGGAGATAAGTTCAGTTCAAAACATTTTTATTCACCAGGAGATAAAACAGAAAAACTGATGAAAGATCCTCAGTTTTTAAATGGACTTATGATGATTTATTTCAGTATTCACTAAATATGGGAGTTTAAAGCTTTTCTAGTTACTATCTGTTAGAACGATCACATAACTAATACAAGTCAAGTAAATCCGTTGTTGATAGGAATAATATCAGTCTTGAATGCCTATTTGACTTCAATTCAAGAGAAAATTTCGGAAAATTTTAGCTTTACACTGGTATATGGTCATATATTTTCATCTCCATATAATTTGATAATGTGTTGTAGTAAAACGTTTTTTATAGTTGTGACTGATGTACGGATCACTGTATAACTCCCTGGTTGTCTAATTTTCTTGTCACTAATCAACAACTAAGGAATAAATGAAATTTGCTCAACCGTCGTGAATCCCATTTACGAAATCTATATCAGGTCTTCAATTATCGAAATAATGATTAGGAAAGGTCAATATTTCTTTCATAGTCTAACATTAAAGACCTGTGGGTATTTAATGAAACTCAATGATTATTACCCTGACTATATGGTGATATAAGGATTTTCAAAACTTGACTGTATTTCTAGACTGATTCTATCCTCCACTGTCGACTTGCTTATTTTTAGTTTTGAAAATCTTTCCTACTGATGAAAGAATTTTGACGTTTTTCTGAAGCGTTTAGTGGCTTCAGATACAGAAAATATTTCACCATGCGTTCTCACTCGGAGCATGAAATACTAAAATGTCTTCATCCAGCACCAAAAAAATGAGGAATTTCGATTCAACAGCACAATAACTGCCAAAAGTTGACATTTACTGCAAAACTAGGTGATATGGTGGGTGGCAGCTGATGACTACTAGCGTCTATGGAGTAGAAACATTTGAGATTTACGCTGGTCCACAGTAATTTTCAAAGTAGTATGTTTATTTTCGGTGCAATGCTTAAGCTTTAACATTTTTTCAGATCACCAGCAAACAGAAATAATGATGAGCATCGTGAACATTCAAATTTTCCTGCGAAACATGGTTTATAGGAAAGACCAGTTAGTGTTAGCGTTAAACGGATAAAACTGAAGTGGTGTGCAATTATTATACACTGATGATTTCTTTGTACTTAGTTGCGTGCTTACTATGAATTCCAAATATAATACGTTCGTTTGTGCTTACCTAGTTCTACTTAGCTTAAATTGCACTGTTTTGGGAATTTCTAGTTAATACAATAAATAGAATTTTGACGCTTTCGAAGAATACATGGAAAGATTTGAAATCTGGAGTATGACCAAGGAAGATGTTAAGGAAGGTAAAACTGTGGCTCCTTTCCTAACATTCCTCGGAAAGGATGTCTACAGCTTACTAAGAACTTTGACATTACAAAATGAGCCTGTTTCAGTACATTTCACAGCGCTCAAGGAGCTACCACTAAATAATGCAAAGTGTACTAGTTTTGGATGCTATGAAAGACCGAAATCCTATCAAATGATTATTCAAAATAATCAAAAGGTTAGATAATTTATCTTTGAATTGCAGAAACAAGCTTCTAAGTGTGATTTCGGTAATCAAATTCATGTCCAGCTGCTTGATCGATTGTTTGCAGGGATTAACATACCGTATCTGCAAAGAGAGCTCATGCAACTGCCAAAGTGTTCATTTCAAGGTGCTATAACTGCGTGTATTAATAATGAGACAGTGCATGAAACTGACTTCCAGGACATAAAGAATTCCACTATATTACTTAGTGATCCCATTTCAGTGCGTACTCAAGTTCATATACGTGAGCGTTGAATTAACGATAATCTGGATAAGCATTTATTAAGGACTTGGAAGCCGGTCACAGAGTTGAACATGAGTATTGGAAACATTTAACCTATGGTAAATTCCACCTACGTAATTAAATTGTCTTTTGTCATGCTATATGCTTTAGGTGTGGTGAAATCGGACACATCAATTCGGTTCGTAAAACTACTGTTCGTTTCTCCGCAAGCAATACTAAACTTTGTTATTCCAATCCTACTAACTTAGGTGATTTTGGTGAACATATACTATCCTTATTTATCACTTTGAGTTATTTGCTTCATATTCAGAAACGATTATATCCATCCAGTGGTGTTTTTCGCGATTTTATTGTTGACACTGACAGTATAAAACCCACCGATTCAGTAGGGATATTGAAGTCAATAAATTTCTGTGCTATAATTAAACACAGTATCGTTTCTATTTTGAGTATTACTGGCCATAAAATTCCAAATCTTGATTGTTATATTTTGCTGATTCGAGATGATTAGTCTTCAATTATAAATTATGAATACCTCATCACCGATTTTCGATCATTTATCTTGGATCTAGAAAAGTTAAGAATGTTTCATGGACAATTTTCTTTGCTGACCACTTAAGATGGTTCCAATGAAATGCTTGATTACTTGTTAGCTAGAGAATCGAAGTGAGAAGATTTGAGCACAAGTTAGAAGCCCTCTCATTTTGATACACAAGCAATAAATGTCAAAATCTTGAAAACAAATATCAGTTCTATTGCTGCTGCAGAATTAAAAGACATGGAGAGGAGAGGAGATGGTTTTTCAGTGCAGGATCGGGACACTACTCAAAAGCGACAAGAATGAAATCGCCTAAACAAAATACTGCTAGTCCAGGTATGGAACGTTTACAGTCAGCCGAAGTTATGTGCCAACGAGGAGCTGATTTCTGACAGTCTACCAAGGTCTGCTAAAAACGGTTGGCAAATCTATGGTTCATACGCAAGCCAGTCACGACAACGGACTATGTTATAAGGAACCAGGTTAGTCTGTTCCAATTTACATTGTTAATTCTAATACTAATGAGTACATTCTAGATCACACATAGTCCATACCAAACACACAGCCGGACAGATATTTGATGAACCTGTAGTGACCTACTTTTATCAAGAGAACGAGATTGGTTTATTGAAAACAGTTATTATTATAACCAATTTTTCCAGTGATTGTTTTACTGTGTTTGTTTGTTCAACTGCACTAAAGACATCCATTATCCTTCCGTTGATTGTGACCATGTACGCCCTTACGTCCGCCCTCTGATTCCACCTGTATTTCTTTGACACGATCTCGGTATTTTTTCGATACCACGAGATCGACAACAAATGTATCTCGTTACAACCTGCAACCGCCTTCTGATCTCTGGTACCCAACCTCCTTGTATTAGTGTTCATTGTCAAACGCGACTCGACGCCACATTACAACTGGTGAACCTAGAACTACGAACACTTGGCAATCGAGACCAAACCTTCCAGAGAAGCCAATTATTGTGAGTCTATCGATTATCTATCCACGCCTGTCGCATATTTTCATATTAATATTTTTTAATATATAATATACAGGCAATAACTTGACATGACGCATAACGATAAGAGTAGCGTTAATGTGTTAGACTCTGACATACGGGCTATACATTTTCGACCTGTATCTTTTATTCCCCACGACCCGGAAGTTTGGTTTAACCGCATTGGAGTATCAATTCAAGACCTGTCATATTACGAGCCAAAGGCAAAAATACGCCTACGCTCTTGAATCTACTTGGGGATCATATAGTAGCTGTTAGGGAGGTAGTCCTCATTTCTAACGTGCCCAACGTTTACGATCGTCTCAAGGAGGCGATCCTTAGATATTTCCTCCCATCACAAGCTAATCGATACTTCGTCGAACAACAAATTCATGGGCTTCAAAGCTCACACAAACGCGTACCGAATCTTAGGCACC